CATAAAATACAAAGAGGGGTTTTGGGTGTAGATGAAATTAATGTTTGTGGGGTTTGAAAATGATATTGTGCTATGTCAAATTTGATAATTTTGTCACTTGGCTAATATTTGGGGAAAATGGGGAAATTTCCCTAATTGGGTGACATTATCTTTTTGTACAAAAATTGGAATTGGCATTAAAGATGTGAAACTGAGAGGATATTGATATAAATGGTGGAATTGGTTATGTATTAACTTATTCTTTTGGAAGTTTTGAATAAACTGTCTATTGAGATTGAATATCTATTTAGAGATAACTGTACTGGGCTATCGATGGAGGATAGCTTTGATTGTTGTAAAAATTGCATGTGGATTAGGTAAATTGAAACTAATCTTTTGATGGTTGTCATTGAATATGACCGTGATTGTATACATTGTATATGTATGTTTGTTGGAAATGGAAAGGAGATGTTCTTCATGTTTGATTATCTTTTTTAAATACATTGCATATGTATGGATAATTGTTTGGGAGGAGAAAAGAGTTGGACTCCACTATACTTAAGTTAGCCCGAGTGTCCTGGGTGAAAGTCCCGAAATTATACATGGGTACCTAGCCCGCGGACAAAATATCCATAAAATAACAATTGTAGTGTTTGTATAGCCTACGTTTACATAGGTCTCATTTGACGGCTGCCCGCGGATGAAATAACCGTGAAATGGAAGTTTGAGGTGTTTGTGCACGTGTGTTGTATGGTTTGGAATTTATTGAGTTGTAGTCTCAGTGTGATTGTTGAGGAAGAATAAGATTGATCCATGAATGGAAACAGATAAGTGAATGGAATAAGAATTGATGGTGAATGAACTAGGGCTTTAAATCGATATTTGATGAATAAATGTATAATCGTGAAAGGTTTTGATACAAACATTGTTTATGCACTTGCACCTATATCTTTGTTAAGTTTCATATACTATGTCAGATGATTTCTACTGGGCTATGGTTCATCCTATTTGGGAATAACATTTTCAGGTAATGAAGGCATGCCTCCTCTAAGACAATAGCATTGGATGGACCTTTAAGAAGCAAGATGTAACGCCCCAAAATTCATGATCATTAAAAAAAAAAAAAAGTACAAAATACAACTCAAACAGGATAGATAACCAAAACATCTTAATATACACATATAAGCAAAGCTAATACCATAATTAATTCATTTGTGGTCCGCAATAGGATTACAAACACTGTCACACCAAAAGTCAAAGTACAAAAAAAACTACTAGTCTAAGTCTTCAAGTGAACCACGGCTCCAACATTTCATCTTGGTTGCCTTCGGGATAACTTTCACCATCGTAAACTGCTTCCTCACCTGGCATGACAGCAGATATGTGTTGGAATTGGTGCAGAAAAGTGCTGCCTGGCCCACTGACAATCTCCAACACTTCAAGACAAATATAAATGATCAAGTCCCCTAGCTGAAATATAAGCCCAGCACCAAAATGAACTGCCCTCAATTCTAGCAGAGGCATCAATACAACCTGTGAAAACAAAAACAGAAAGAACAAAAAAGAACTGATGCAAGATTGAGGATATGCTAAATAACCTAAGGCAAACCTCACTCATATATGTACTAACAATCTTAACACTCAGAAGCAGAGTCACTCTCAAAGAACAGGTGAAAGAACCACATTTAAAAACCAATCCAAAAATATATCCTCACTTCACTAGGCTCTCACCAAAGAACTCCCTACAACTGTGCCAGCAACTGATATAAACCTGCAAGAGAAAGTTAGGAGCACTCATATAGGATTTCACAACACTCAACCCACAAGCTCAATAAAGACCACCACCTGACTATATGCTCACAGCACACTCAACCCTCAATCCCTAAGAAGGGCCAGCATGACAAACTTGCAAAGCAAACTATTACGAAAAACATGTGATAGCTCATAGATCACTCAACCCTCAATATGAGATCACACCACACTCAACACACTGCTCCCCTCAATCACCTCTAAGGATAGAAGAGGGCAGTCTCCAAGTGGCTAAAAACCATGAATCATTTGAATTTCTTTTTAAATTTTTCAGAGACAACACTCTAAATCTAACCATATTAAAAATGTTCAAAACAAGAACTTCTTCAGGAATTTTCTCTTTGGTAAAAACTCTATTATTTCCCTCAAGCCAAATGAGGTAAAAAGTGCAATTTAGAGCAAGCCTTGAAATAATAGGGCCAAGAGAATTACCCTTAACAGATTTAGCAATATAAGACACCAGGCCAGTCCAATTTAACACTGGCCAAGCCACATTGATCTTAGTTTTAATATTCATCCACACTCTCTCAGAGAAGGGGCAGTTAAAAAACAAGTGGGAGTGGTCCCCAGTTTGGTAAAAGCATAATGAGCAAGTAGCAACAGGGGAAATACCAATTTACCAAACAATTTCAGCCTATCACCCATATTCAATCTATTCTGGATGGCCAACCAAGTAATAAAGCTAGCCTTAGGAACAGTCACAGCACTCCAAACCAAATTAGACCACTCAACTTTCTCAAAGGAGACTCTCCAAGCATTCCAAGCAGATTTGATAGAGAACAGCCCATCAGTAGACAGAGTCCACATCAGCTTATCAGGGCTAGACCTAGGGATAAGAGCCTGAGGGGTGGATTGGATCAGGTCACATATGTCCACAGGGATGGAAGTAGGCCACCTCCAAGAAGAATTAGAATTGATCCTACTCACTCTAAAATTCACAGCAGTGTCATACATGATCCTGTCCCCAAATTTAGCCCATAAAGATCCAAGAGGATGCCAATTGTCAAACCAAAAGAAAACACTATTACCATCCCCCACACTGTATTTCATATAAGGATAAATAATAGGTCTAAGACCTAAAATTTTCCTCCAAACCCAAGATGAATCAGTAGGAACTTTAACCTTCCAAAAACTTCTACCCTTTAAAAGGTAAGACTTGACCCATTGGCACCACATAGATCGCTCACCACCAGAGAAAAGGAACCATATGTGTTTAGCAATGACTGCCTTATTCCACACCCCCATAGACTTAAGACCTAAATCCCCCCCCTTTTTAGGGGAGCACACTTTATCCCAAGACACCTTCGCACCATACTTCTTAAGCTCACTCCCAAACCAAAGAAATGCCCTGAAAACACCCTCAATATCTTTCACAACCTTTTTAGGGAGTATAAAAAGAGAACTCCAATAAACCTGCATAGAAAAGAGGATAGATTGGATCAATTGCAACCTCCCAGCAAAGGAGAGACATTTATTAGTCCAACACTTTATCCTCTTTGTGATTTTCTCAACAAGTTGCAGGCATTCAGAAGCTTTAAGCTTGGTAGATATAAGAGGAACCCCAAGATATCTAACAGGGAGAAAGCCTTCAGGGAATTTTAAAATTCCCATAACCTCATCCCTCAACTTTTTCTCACACCCGGAAAAGAACACGACTTTTATTAGGGCTAGGAGAAAGGCCAGATAGAGCTTGGAACTCATCAAGGCCCTCCTTAACAACATGGGTAGTAAAAATATCCCCTCTGCAAAAGATCATCAGATCATCAGCAAAGCAAAGATTCACAATTTTTGTTTTCTCACACCTCTAATGATATTCAAAATGAGGATGAGAGGCCTTTTCACTCAGAATCCTAGCCAGAATTTCCATAGCTAACACAAACAAATAAGGGGACATGGGTCCCCTTGTCTAAGCCCTCTAGCCCCCTTAAAACCCTGCAGGCTGTCATTAATGCAGATAGAAAATGAAGGACTAGTCATACACGCCTGAATCCAGTGAATGAATTGATGGGGGAAGTCCATAACTTTCAAAACATCAATCATAAAATCCCACCTAACATTATCAGAGGCCTTCATAATGTCCACTTTCATAGCACATCTAGGAGATGAAGAAGTCCTATGATACCCCCTCATTAGCTCTTGGGATAGAAAGATATTATCAGAAATTCTCCTACCTTGGACAAAAGCAGACTGAACAGGGTCAACAAGATCAGGCATAACCATCTTGAGTCTATTTGCTATGATTTTAGCAATACACTAATAGATGGTATTATAACAAGATATAGGCCTATAATCCCCAACTTTAGAGGGGTTAGGGACTTTAGGCACTAAAGCAATAATGGTGTTGTTAACCTCCTGAAGAAGCTCCCCAGAAGTGAAAAAAGATTTTATGGCAGCCACCACATCATTTCCAACCACATCCCAGGCTTTCCTAAAAAAGCTAGTAGGGTAGCCATCAGGACCAGGAGCCTTATTGGCTTTAAGGGACCAAAAAGTATCCTTAATCTCAGTATCAGTGACCTCCTTAGATAGCATCACAAACTGATCAGGGGATACTTTCTTGTTCACAAGGCCATGTAACCTCTCCAGCCCATTATAAGTATCATTAAACTTTGTACCAAAGATGTCAGTGAAATTTTTAACAAAAGACCTACAAACATCTTTAGCCTTAGACAATTTCTCCCCAGAAGACAAAGTGACACAATGGATTTTGTTTCTATTGATATTCCCTTTAATAGATCTAAAGAAGAACCTAGAATTCCTATCCCCAAGGCCAAGCCACTGAACTCTGGATTTCTGGTGGGCAAAACCCTCCTCAACCTTACTCAAGTCAACATATAAGCATCCTTCTCAAAATTTTGCAAGACAGTATTCAAAGGGTCCTTATCAAGCTTAATCTGAGCACTCTCAAGACTAGCCTTAGCATGAGTAACCCTAGTCGATATCTCACTATACTCTTTTTTATTCATATCTTTCAAGATAGGTTTCAGAGCCTTAAGCTTCTGGCAGATCCTAAACATAGGCGAACCCCTAATATACTTACACCAAACCCCAGAAACACTAGGCACAAAATCTTCATGGTCACCCCAAAAATCAAAAAATTTAAAGGGTTTTATAAGACTCTTAACATTAGGATCAATATCAAGCAACCCGGGAGAATGGTCAGAGATACTTGAAGGCAAAAAACTGGCACAAGAGTGAGGAAATTTGGTTAGCCAAGTTTCATTAACAAGGACTCTGTTAAGCTTCGAAGCAATAAAAGCACCATCCCCTCTCTTATTGGCCCAAGTAAATTGGCAGCCAATATAAAAGAGATTAGTGAGATCAGAACTTTGAATACACTTATTAAATTCCTCCTTGGCCCCAGACCAAGAGATAGTCCCACCCACTTTTTCGGAAGGACATCTGATAACATTAAAGTCCCCCATGCAAACAAAAGGAGAGGAAATACTCTGGACAAGGAGATCTAGAATATCTTTAAAGAGAAGAACCCTTAAAACATGTTTATTGTCATCATACACAAAAGTCCCAAAAAATGTTATATCCCCCTCTAACAAAGTGATTTTGCAAAACATATACTGATTAGACATTTTTAAACATTGGATATCACAAAAATTAGGATCCCAGCAGACCCACACTGTAGCTTTTGAATCAGTTAGTGCATTAGACAAAAAACCCCAGTTTGAGAAAACTTTTCCAAAAATTTCCTTTTCATTTGAGGATTTTATTTTGAGTTCCAAAAGACTCATGACTTTAATATCATTTTTAACCACAAAATTCCTCACTTCTTTATGTTTAGAGGATTCATTAAACCCTCTAATATTCCAAGTAGCAATTTAAAAAGTCATGGACACAAAAGAGGAAGGGGACCCACTAACTGAAAAACTTAAGTACTTACTTCTTCTTCTTCCTCTGGCTACTAGATTTACCAGAGGAGTTCTGCCGTGATGTTTCACCTTGTTGCCTAGCTTTCTTCCTTGGAGTTGATAGTTTGTCCACCATAGCAGCCAACATTTCCTCTTCAGTGTCTACTTCATCCACTGGTTCCTCAAGCCCAAATGGTGCCTCAGCCACAGTATTAAGGGCACTTGCAAGTCCCTGAATTTCCTTATGCAACAGTTGTAGTGGGTCATCAACATGGTTTAGACCCTCTTCCAGAACTACTTTAGCAGCAGTCTCCACTGGAGGGAGGGGTGTGTGCTCCACTGTTTGTACATCTCCCTCAGGTACTCTAACCTTTTTTTTCCCCTTATCTTTGACATGTTGCCACTCATCTTCAATTGCCACTCCTGTCACCTTTTGCATTTGGGTTAATTTCTCCACTTGGGCAGTCACACATTTCTTTGTGTCATGGCCAAAGACTCTACAATGTTCACATTTAGCTGGAAGTCCTTGATATTCCACCTTGATTTCAACAACCTCATCCTCACATCTCAAAAAAAATTGATGTGGCAGCTCAGAGGTCACATCAACCTCTACACACACCCTTGCAAAAGAAACTCTAGTCCCAGTAGAAGTTAGATGATCCATAAACAAAGGAACACCTATCTTACTAGCAATTCTACTTAAACCCTCGTGATCCCAATACTCCATTGGGATATTGAAAAATTTGACCCAAACAGGAATCTAGGACACATGCTCCTTGGTTAACCTCATCATTTTCTTCCACTTCTTAAGAATAAGGAGTTGGTTACCCATATACCAAGGACCTCCCTCAAACACCTTATTACAGGAGTCTGTGTTGTCAAAAATAAAAAACATGAATCCCTCCCCATTTGCTAAGACCTCCTTGAGTCCCATATTCTTCCACAGATTAGAAGCACCATTCCTAAGTTTTAGCAAGGCAATATATGATCTTGGTATATAGATATAAGATTTGGCTTGCACACTAAGTACATACCCTTTGCCTCTCAAGTCTTGCTCACCTATATATACCTCTTCCCTCTCAAAAGGAGATCCAACTTTTACATGCCCAAACTCAATCCAACAAAAAGTCATCCCACATATACCCTAAATCTAGAGGTTAGGAGTGTTCTTGAGCCACCAAAACATGATCTGATTCATGTGTCGTAATCATCACTCCATCATATGCCGTCTCTGATAACTATAGCTTTAAGAGAAAGGTTTTGGGAGGAGAAGCATTATCATCAACTAGAAAAGGGGAGCTTAAGCTCTATAAGTAAAACTAAAGATAATGAAATCAAATCTGACTTCCCAGGCATATACAAATCAAGAATAGGGAAGCAAAGGCACTAGGGGTCAAATACCTAAGATGTAGACACTCTATTTTGACTGGTCTTAAGACTTGGACGCCTTCTTTTGATTACCCGATAATGAAAATAAGTTTGTATTCTTTTACAAAATCTTTAGTAAAAAAAGATGAAATTTGAGCTTTACTCTCCACCCTAAGTCTATTTTGGCCAAGTCTTTAGGTCCTGTCAGGCACCGGAGCAAAGCTAGACTGAATTGAAGCAAAGTGGGCAAAATTCTCTCCGGCCAGTCAATCACCCAGAGTCAGTTTTGCCTAGATTTTTGTTGGTTCAGGTGGGGCACTTCACAACCCCATTTTCTGACCCATTTATGCATTGAATGCATGTATACTTAGCCTCTATTGCCTAGTGCTTGATCCATTGAAGGTAGTGCTCAATTTTTGTCTTTTATTAGCTCCATTTGTGCTCTATTTGCTTCATTATCTTTCTTAATGCTCCATTATTGTCTTCCACCATTGTTCCACTTGTATTGCCTATATAAGGAAAGCTTAAGTCTTGAGTATTGGGAGATGAATTTGAGAGAAGAAGTGTAGAGAGAGTGATGAGTTTGAATTAGAGTTTGAGAAAGAAAATGAAGCTTTGAAAACAAGAGTGTTGTCTTGCCAAAATAGAGAAGTTGTCTAGCCTTCATATATCTCATCTTTCATTACAAAAACCTCCAAAGAAACTCATTGAAACCATGTCACAACCCAAACCTACCCCTACAAGTTTAGGCCATGGCCGGCCTATACTTAGGCCTCAAAACAAAATGTTTTATTCAATAACGGGGCCTAAAGCGGAAGTCAATAAATAGCAGAACGTCTATTGAGCAGTGCTTAAATGCCATGATATTGTACACCATGCCATATATAGAGAATTCACATACATAATTCATAGTTCGTATACAAGTAAGTCTAAGTCATGCTAGTCTATATAAAGAGGCACAACCCAAAATTTACATATTGGCAATGTATCAAAAATATACCAGTCTCGAAAGACTAGACAAAATGTGACATCAAAGGAACCCCACAAAAAGGCAAAAGGCTCTAATTTGGGAGGCTTAACAAAATAGGTCCAACAAAAGGCTCCTGGAGCTGACCTAGGACTTGCCTCTGAGTTGGTTACCTACATAAATATACATAAATACGGAGTGAACAAAGGTCAGTGAATAATAGCAATGTAAGGAGCTTCATGTGAATGAGCATTAGCCTTGGAGAATAGAATGACTCATTATGAATTTGATGATATTTACTCATGCATGATCATCATTATTTCAAAACCCTAATTTATATGAGTGTAAAACTTCATTTTAAAGCTTGATGCTAATTAATTGAAGAGAGATTTTTAGGGTATTTTAGTTGATTTACACTCACCTTAAACTCTATTCTCTAAATCCCCTTACAATTTCATCAAGCTCTTGGTTGATCTCTTCTTCCTCTCTCTCTTTTCTCTTCTTTTCTTCTGTAGAAACTCTCCAGGAGATATTTTTAATGTTTTGTTGAGGTTAAGTCCTCTAAAGCTGATATAAGTGGCTCTTATATCTATCAAGACTTAAGTTATGGGCCAAGCTAGTTTAATTAAGATTTGAGCCAAAATTAAAATAATTTAATTTGTTGCAAATCAAATTTTTACAAAATTTCATATAATGTCCTAACAATCATGCTAATCGTCACTGTAAGATCAATTTTGATTTATCGCGCCTTTAAGGCCTTCAATTGCAGTCTAAATGTTGTAATTTCAATAGATTTTCTTTTAACCGACAGATACAATTTCATAATCATGTAATTCACATAATTGAACATGGAATTCACATCAAACACATAAACACACATATAATGAGGAAATTAAAGCATATTAAGGTATATGAGAGGGTCGGGTTATTGCAAACCAAGTCCTAGAGCATTGATCAAGGAGAGAGTAATCCTTGCCAAGTTTAAGAAGATTAGAGAGTGATCATCTCCTAGTCCAAAGACATCATTCTAGTTCAAAATATTCAAAATTTTTGAATTGAAGACAAATAACATAATTCACAACCGTAAATGTGATCAAAAGGACGTTTGAAAATCAAGAAATTCAATCTTTCTTTGGAATATGAATTTTTAATTCTTTCATTTTCTTGTATTTTCTATCTTATATTTGTTTTCTTACTTTAATTTCATATTAATTTTGTTGTAATCTAATCGGAAGTGGTTAGTTGAGACACCTACACATTCCTTGTTTGTTCATTTCTCGGTGTTGCAACAAGACAAGTTTTGCTAGGCCTAGTTGGTCGGCCGGGCTAATTGACTGGCCAGCTAACTTCTTCTAAACAGAACAAAGCAGTTGTCCTGCATTGAGCATAATAGTTTCTGGCGATCCTCGAGACACATGAAGCTTTTATTTTGTTTTTCATTTGAATGTTTTTTGAGATTTTGTTTTGTTGTAATATTTTCTTCCTCTCTCTCTTTTTCTCTCTCTCTCTCTCTCACACACACATTTGGTTTGTAATTATTTATTCAAGTATTGTAATAATTTCCTGCACCATTTCTTTCTATCTCATTCTTTTACTTGCTTTCTTTATTTGTACATAAGTATCATACTTTGCTTTTCACTATATCCATGTTTTGCATCCATGTTTCATGTATTTTGATTCGACTAAGTTTGCATCTATGGTTTAATTAATTCTTATGTAATTATGTGCGCTACCTCATATTCTTGAGATGATTCGCATGTCATATATTAGAAACTCAATCTTTAGTTGCATTATTGCATTAGGATTTTGTATATAAGATCACGCAAGTTTTACTGACTTTGTTTTGTAGCTGTTCGCAAAATGTCAAAAAATATGTAAGTTTTTATGTTTTAGCATCCCGCTCGTGTGTGTTTTTCTTATTATATTTAAGAATCCTACAATATGGCTACTTATTTACTTAATATAACTATATAAATGCCGGCAGATGGAGGTTGTGTTGCTTAATTTGAAATGATGTTGATTTTTATGTTTGTAAACTCAATTTATTCGAGTTATATATTTTCCAAACTCTTTCAAAATACATGAAATCAAATTGTTCCAAAATGAATGATATAGTCTATACTTGTATGCTTCACATAGTAAGATTTTAAGATTTATTAAATAATCGGGATATGAACATATAAAGTAAATAAAACTAATATCATGGTTTAGTAGAGACCGATTTTTGATCGGGTGAACGGGGATATTCAATTAAAGACCTTCCCCTCTCATACTTAAGATTCTAAGTCAAGCATCATTGGTTATGACAAACAGTGGCATTGGCATGAATCACGGATTTCCTAATTTTTTCAAAATATTAGGTGGCGACTCTAAGATCTGATAATATAGTCCATTTCTGGCAAAAGTTTTGCAATAAAATGGATTTTCTATACAATTTGCTAAATCTGTACTCCCATCTATGTTTCACATTGCACTCGTAAGACCATATCAAAGAAATCGAGTATCCGAGTTGTTACGGGCACAAGTACCCACAGGCATCTTACATAAGGTGAACACCCATTGGTTCCACCTCTCAACTCTTTTGTGTGTTTCTTTGGTTCGATCATACAAACCAAAGGTTAATTGTCTATTGTCTGCGTTTTTTAAATATAATTTTCTTGTTTGATAATGGTTACTAGTTAGTTATAGTTTCATTCATATCTCATAATTTTAGCGCATACTTTGCCACTTTTTATTCACATTTCATTCAATTTATTTCACATCCATAGATTGGGCGTGGTAACATGATTTGGATGCATTAGGGATATCGGTTCAGATCATGTTTTTATTTATTTAAATTTGCTCTTCGTTTATTGCTCAATTCCACTATGTTCATGGCATGTTTAGTATAATACCGAACCTTAGACTCCTGTAATGTATGTTTGCATTAGAAATAACATGTAGGATCACACATATACATATAATCATGATGCTTGGTGCTGAGCCTTCCTCCCTCCTTGCGTCTTTTTGAGTTTGAATGCATTAGGCCATATTTTCCATTCGATTTGCTTATCATATTTGCCTACTTGTGAAGTAGCAATTTCACACTTGTAGTTTTCTATGACACTATAATGTTTGTAAGCCGAATGAGTGGATTTTCTTAACCTCAAAATAATTTTTAAGTGTTTTGAGGTAATGTCAAGACTAAAGATCAATTTTCAAAAAAGTGGTGTAGGAGTGTTAGATGATATTATTGCTAATTTTACCACAAAGCTAAATTGCCCCCAGTCAGAAATTGACAATAAATTATCTTGGCTTGCCTCTTGGTGCCACTCCAAAAAGAAAGAGTACATGAAAGCCAGTTATTGACAAGTTTAGGCTTAAACGTGCTACATAGAAAAAGAGTTTATGTT